TCTGGCTGTCTGCCCATCTGCCGCCGCTTTGTCCTGTTTGCTCCGTTACTCCCATGCCCTGGTGTGTAGTGCCTGGTGCTGGTACGTTACCCTTTGATTTTTTCTTTGGGCGGGTGTGGGAAGCGTCCTCCTTTATTTTTGTATTTGGTTTACTTTGATCGGTTTCCGAGGGCCCTTTTCTCGAACGGTCGGTGCGGTACCTGTTCTTTTCTTTCTATTTTTTTTTGTACCCTAATTTTGTTTTGTTTCCCCGCGGCGTCGTATGTGCCGGGTATTGAGACCACGGGCTCCCCATTTTTTGTGGACTATTGAGCTACTGTGAGAAACAACAACAACAACAATAACCATTTTGCGTGGTAGTAGCGGATATCCACGCATGTATCTACAGCATACACCAGGGCATCGCCCGCGGATAAATGATCGGACGCGCATCGTTGGCTGGCTCTCTCAGCTTCTTTCCGCAGAAATGTAGGCTGCTTTGTAAAACGTAGACTTATTAGCGTTTTCACTTACAGACCTGGGACGGTAAACTACTTCCGTCCATTAATCCAGGCCTGCCCGTTGCCCCTTGGCTGATACGCAGAAAAAATCTGCATCTTGTCGAGTAACGTCGACTCCTCCATTGAGTGGGCCTTCCATTGTTTGTGCTTGTGCCGGACTAGATTTACAGAAGAACTGAATTTGTACGGGTGACCAGCGATCATCGTCTACATTTTTTTTGCTGGCGGGGGCAGGGTGACATCACGACTCTGCCGCACGCTGTTTGCATTAGAGACTATTGCAGACAGATCCCGTTCCGAATGTCAGTACAGTGCCGAACGTCGCGTCCCATGAATGATAAATTACAGAATCCCTTCACGCGGCTGGTTGTTGTCACCATTTGTTTTGCTGCGTCTTTCACGTTTTCTTTCCGAATAATTTTCCTGGAAAGCGGTCGCGGCCCACAAAAATATAAATCGCCGTCCCCTCCTGGATCAATTTCCGGCTTGTTGTCTCGCTCTCCCACAAGAAAACACAAGCACACAAGCCGCTCGCGTTCCACACGGACGCCACAGCGTAGTTGGTAGACCGACCACACGGCTTACGGAAGGAAGGAAGCCCTTCACACACAACTCTCCTGCTGACATACATCGACAGAGAGAGGAGGAACTTCAACAAGAAGGAGTCCCTTCCCTCCCTGTCCGCGCGCGGGCAACAGCCGCAGGTCTGCAAGGTAGGCATGGAGGTCTCGCCTGTTGTTGTATTGAACCCTTCTCTCCCGGCATCGTTACTTGAATGCCAAACCGAGCGCCAGCGCATCTGCGGGCAACCTATATCTCGCAACGCCGCCCCGCGGCAGTGCTCGAAGGAACGCGTTGTTGCTGCCGAGCAGAGGCTTCCTGCGATTGGGATCCCGAGGGGAGATGTAGTACGTCTAAAGCGGCTGCCGGTCTCTTTCGGCGGGGTTTTTGAATGTATTCTGCTTTGGGCGGATGCGGTTGCCGCGGCCGCCGTTGTGTGCAGGCTACACAAGTATACATACATCAAATATGCATACCACCGCGGAGCGTTCCTTGCGCAAACCGAGAACATCTATCACCGCCGCACCATCGTCGCCGTTGTGTTTGCAAGGAAGTCGCCACAAAGCGGAGCTCAGCATCTCAGACACCCAACAACAGAGAGGGCTTGCCCCGATTGCGTTACAGCAGTAGGACGATATGCCGTCAGCGCGCAACTACCCGAGCCAAATCGTCGGGTTGTAGTGTATGTTCATCCATATTAGGTTCCGAGGAACGTGTGTAGTTCGGGATTGGAGCTACTGCGCGACAACGCGTGAACAATTGTGGCGTTGAGATCGGTACTGTAATCATCGTTGGTTATGAACCTTTCGCAACCGGGGGAGAGCTGCTGATGGTGCCGCCAATTGCCGCAGAAGAAGTTTGCTTTTCTGAACGCACTCCTACACGTACTACAGCAGGGAATGGCAACCCGCTGTGATACGTGACCATGGACGGGTCCGTGGACACGTCCACGGGCTTGTCCCGAAACGACACATGCAAGCAAGCGGATACATTCGCTTGGAGCGGACGTACTTTTGCCATGATAAACTCCGTGCTTCTATATGTACATGACGTGAAAAATTGGGTGACGACTACCTGTCTGTCTGTCTGCATGTCTCGGACGGTCGGTCTGTACCGGGTTGGGGGGGGCGTGTTGGCACTCTACATGCACCGGTCGCCCCGGTGGTCTAGTGGGTAGCCTCGCAGCCTTGTAAGGGCCAGGCCAGGTCATGGGTTCGAGTCCCGATAGAGTGAGTTTTTTCCCGTTAATTAAATCCTGGTCTCCGTTGGAAGCGACGCGCTGCAAAGCTCGTTGTTAGTAAACTTGATCGACTTCATAAGTCGCGAGGGAAGGGATTGCTGTAGACGACCCTTCTCGCGATAAAAATATCTCAGGCAGCAGCCGCAGTAGGGATCCAACCCCCCCTCCTATGTGACCCCGGTAGGGTCTTCTAGCTGGTAGAAGAGGAGGATATGGGCCAGAGGGGCAGACGTCAGAGTCAATGATGGGAAAAAAAAAAAAAACTATAAGAAGAATATATATCCAGCGGCAGCAAGGTATTCATAACCAACAGGGCCTAACCAAAACATTCGCGAGGTTTCGTCATCATCCAAAACAGAATGCGAAGCTCGGAACATGTTGCTCAGTTTCATTAGATGACGCGTCTCCATATCGGAGGTTAGTCTCTCTCCTACTCGAGGTACATGTTGCTACCAACCGTTCGAGTACAAATACCCCGTTTGTTTCAATGGGACCACGTGTGTGCAGTGTGCGTTCGTGTATGTTTTGAGCGCTCGCCAGCCGGAACAGAATCACATAAAGTACTACGCAACTTCCCCCGTTGATCATCATCGTGACAAAAACTGAAGCTTTGTTGCTCGTGGCCACGAACGAACGAGCAGCCTACGGTGTATGTGCTGTTGTTGCATTATTGAAAAGCACAACTCCAGTCAGTGTTGTCCCCCGTTCTTCTCTACAATCATTTGTTGGCTTCACTCTGTCCAGTTTGTTTACTGGAGACAACGAAAGAAGGCCGTACAAAGGCAGCGAGCGGCTGGCTGCGAGCGGCAACTAGAAACTGATGACGTGGCATGCGACGCGTGATATGGCTTGTGTGCGTGAAGGTTGTGTATATTTAGTACAGATGCAGTTGTTTTCGTCCCGTCATTTCTCTAGGCGCCAATTGACACACTCTCGGTGATTTCAATACACATGTTGGATTCGGCGTATCATTTGGCAATTAGTCTATTTTTCACGCCAGCTGGAAGCACAGGAGGTCATGGTTCACACTTGAATTTATTCGTTGGGAAATGGGAAAATGGTTTAAGCGACGACGCCTTCCTCGGACAAAAGTGAGTACTACTCGAAAAAATTGCCCTACGGATGGATACAACAACTCTTCTTCCTGTCGCAGAGGGCCGAACCGCTAAGAAACTCATTCCGAAGTCTGTACAGCATGATGATGGGCAACAAAGCCCATCATCATCATGATGGCCCTCATGCACGACATGAACATCTTTTTTAGCGAACTTTCAGTGGTGTCTTTGCCCCACACATCGCTGCGGCGCATAAGGCCTCAACAGGTTGCCCGATATTGTCCGATGTTCCGGTGGATATTGCACTGCTCCGGAGTATTTTGTGCATTCATGCATATATGCGCATGTACCGACCTTTGTCGGGTTGAATGAACTTTCGTCCGAAATATGTGGCAGCCACTTTCGTCCGTTTTTCCATTTGAAAGGGTGATCATCCGATCATCCTCCCGTCACCGCACGGGGGAACTTCGAATGCATGACTGCAACGTTTCGGACGTAGGGTGACGTAACAATACCGAAACAAATTACAGCAGTAGGTGTTCTGAATGCCAAACCGGCACTATTGAGGCCTGCCCGCTATAGTGCCGGTTCAGGCACTATCGAACCCCTCAGTAGTGCCGGTTCACACCCCACACACAGCCTTTTTTCGCCTGAAGCCTTCCACGCCAACAGGATTCGGAGACGGTTTCCCTTCGAGCTACAAGTATAGCTCGGTTTCTCTCGTTACGCGTGACGTCTTCAAATGTCACGGTTTACCTATCGACTAGGCTCCCCACCAATAGGCTGGGATTTTAGTAGTGAGGCGAGCGAAAAGGAAGATGGTGGTAGTGACGAAGGATGTGGAAAATATAGCCAAGGATAGCAGTGATGATGCACGAGGAGAATATGGCGTTGAGGGGACAACAAGAGTTTCGAGCGAGATGACCTTCCTCACAACAAACGCCGCAGGGGCGCAGAATCTGGAGATGAAAGCCCGAATAATAGTGGAAAAATATTAGGCAAGAGTGTAGTAGTGGTGGTAAATAAAATACTTCTAAGGATGAAAACACTCCGAACGAACGCGTCTTTAAAAGTAGTGAGCCTTGGCAGTCACGTAGTTCTCCTCTCCCGGTTGCTACCAATTCTGTCTTTTATCCAGAGAATAGCTCAGCCTCCTCCATGACACCCTCTCATTTCCTTGAGAAACAAAGATGTTCTGTTTTTGACCGCACTGAGACTGATGACGTCCTTTGGTTGGGGTTGGCCAGTCGTTTTTGTTGCTTCTGAAGGCTTAGCCTTCTCTCTAGCTTTTTATCGAAGGAGCAGGGGAGTTCGTTATCTTCTTCACCCCTTTTTAGGTTGCATCTGCTTTTGTGTGCTCATGTAAGGAGCACTACATCCACCTATGTTTTACCTCCAGATGCACATCGGGTGCATGCATGAGCGTCCTTCTTTTGCTGTCAAGGGGTGGGTGCCTTTGAGGTTGCCTGAATCATCATAGTGCTACGGACTTCTTGCAATACAACACATCATAATTTGATTGCGAGGTGAAATTTTATCGGGCAACACGGTCTACGGTTGGAAGGCAGCAGCAACGTTTCACTAGCGAGTGCTTGCGCTGAGGTGGGAAGAGAACAACCGCTGTGCAACAAATCCATCTGGTCAATCAAGTTAATTTGAAGGTGACCAATGCCGTGTTTTCGACAGTCCAAGAGCCTCACGAAACTTCATGAAGCCCGCCCACGTCGCCCACCTCACGATTGAATCAAATATCGTTAATTTGGTACTCTGTCAGCCCCGCAAAGCGCAAGCGCTGCACTCTGAATTCGAACAGTCCCGAATAGTTCCAAGCCGGCACTATGGAGGGGTTTTCAGGCCCTGAATAGTGCCGGTTTGGCACTATTCAGGCACAATTCTGAATAATGCCAGTGCCCGGTATAGTGCCGGTCAAATCGCCTGGACACATACCGGCACTATATGGGGACACCTACTGTCGACAATATAATATACTAGAACACCACAGGCAATTTCCGCTGGCGCTTGCAAATCTATCTATCGTAGACTCCTTTCTCATGGATAGAGATAACGGAATCGTTGTGTCATATTAGGAAGAATATAAAAAAAAGTGGGCTGAGACTAGCAGGGAGAAGGAGAATATTCTTCCTCAATGTAAACGGCACACCCACTTGCACCCGTAGAATTTTCGGACAAAGGGTTGGGCATACCCACTGTTTCCGTTCCTTGGTTTGGAGGGGCGAGGGGCAACGAAAGAAGCACGGCGTGCAAGAATTCAACACTTCTTCTATGATATTTACAGGTGAAAGCCTACCACTCACTGTGTTTCGTTTGTCTATATAATCCCATTTTTTCAGTAGCGACCGCTCGCAGTTCTCCTCTTCCTCCCGGTCTTTCCTACCGATGATCCGAGGTCACAACGACAGACAAATTTCATCCATCCGCGGTGCATGCTCTTGTTGTCTTCATCTTTCTTTTTTTTTTCCCGGACGGGTTCATTCAGCACTTTTTTTAGTTCTTTCATTAATGGTCTTCCCTTTTGTGCCTTACATCTAAAATACCCAAACGGTACGTGCAAAATATCAATTGGGGAAGCATCCGCAGCACACGGCAGTCTATCAATCATCCCTTCCCCTGAAGTGCCCCGCCTTCCCCCGGTGTTTGCCATTGGGGTTAGGTTTTCGTCGTGTGGCAACGCCGTTCTAAAACAAGCCGCCCCCCCCCGGTGTTTACCATGGGGGATGGGTTTTCGTCGCTTGGCAACGACGTTGTATAGCAAGCTGCCCCCCCCCGGTGTTGGCCATCGGGGATGGGTTTCGTCGCTTGGCAACGACGTTGTAAAACAAGCCCCCCCCTCGGAGTCCATCGTGAACGCAACGGCAGAGAGAGTAGTGGGAAGGAAGGTGGTACGATGTGGGGTATCGGTTAAGTGGTGGGATGACGAGCTGAAAGAAGAAATAGGGGAACGTAGAGAAGTCTTCAAGCAGTACCTGAGTGAGGCGTCTGAGGAGAGTTGGGAAAAGTACAGGGCCAAGAGAAAACAGGTGAAGGGACTAGTGA